AGCTCTATGTTTCAAATATTGGTGTTGTGTTAACATCTACAGGTTTGCCAGTCTGTCCCACATCAGATAAGTTTCAGGCACTACACCCAACTCTGTAAACACCACCAACACAGTGTTGAGGAGAATTCTTGATCAAAATACTTTTAACTGTCTGTGAATTCTTAAAAAACCACTCGTATGCAAAATCTTTTTAGGACATTCGGCAGGACAGATAAATTCTCATTGTATGGAAGCACCAGCACATTCTTGATCTTAGGAGTTATTCTAGGTTAAGTCCTATGATACGTTTTCCTAGCTGCCAGCAAAGCCATTTCTACAAACTCCTTAGGATAACGGTTTCATAGCATTATTAAAGATTTTCTCAATATTCTCATCAAGAAACCCCGGGGTGCACACTTGGTAAGTTCTCAGAAACATAATGAGATAGACACTTCTTTTTGGTTTCATGGTTATAGTACTGGATATATGAACAAACATTAGTGGCTTTCCTATATACTTAAACATTCTATCAACCCGGTGGATCAGAACATTTTAGAATTGAAGTTTAAAGTTCATTTCTTTCTCCAAGGAGAATTTAATAGATGGGACAAGATGTTAAGGCCTCACGAAATTCGTGAAAATAAAAAATTCTATAATTGTTATTATTATAATAAAAAAGAAGCGCTAAGCCACAAGGGCTAAAAAAAATAATATATATATATGAAAAAGCGAGTTTTCAATACTTCTCAATTTTGTTTTTGAGGTTTTATTTCACTTATAATTATTTTTCTAAAATTTTTATGAAAAAAACATTCGATTCTGTGAGTTTTAAGAAAATCTAATATGAAAAATTTCTATAAAATTGGCACGAATATGACTCCCAATTTAAAAAATCCAATTACGATTAATTAAAACTTAGGCGTTTGAAGCCGATCAGAAAAGCCATTCTCTAGCAATTACATGAAAACAAATTTAATAAAATTGGTAATATAAAATTTACATAACTCAAAGTGACAACCAAATTTTACCTTAATAGAGGAAATTAATACTAAACATTCTAAGTCTATCAGAATAGACATTCTCCACCCATCGCTCTGAATCCAAAGACCAAATTTTTTTTAACAAATGCAATATCATTTTAAATTTGCACCTAAGAAGTCTAAATATATCAGGTATCATTCTTGCTACGAGATGCATTAACGTTAATAGTTTAAGTGGATGTTACTAGACATTCTTTAGTTATTGAACAGAAATCTATTTCACTGTTTAATAAAACTGGCAAAGTGGGACTTATGGAGTCCAATAACAAGGCGAGGTTCGTTATCTCTAAAACACTTTTAGGTCTAAAAAGTTGAAGCCGATCAGAAGAGGCATTCTCCAGTTAACGCACGGATTCCAACGATTCCAGGTTACATGGAATTTTTGTTTGGTGCACTGATAGTTTACCCGCACACTAAATTTAACGGGTAATAACCTAGCTGTAAGATGCATCAGTCTTGTTATTGATGCCATTCAGAGAAGGTGGAATTAAACGTGATTGAACAGGAATACAAATTTTACGCTATTCTACACAAAATCAACAGACGTGCGCCTATATACTTAAATCAACAGACGCGCACCTACATGAATTAACAGACATCGACATACTTCATAGAAAGTCCCTGGTTATGCACATCAGTTAGGTCAGCAACTTTGGTTACAAGGCACTTATGTATGCCCTAATTACTGTACGCCATTGTTGAAAATTTGAAGCCGATCAGATAAGACTTTCTCGAGTTTTGAACAAAATGAAAACGAAAAGATGGAAGAAAAAATAAAATGAAAATATTTTAGAAGAGCAAAATTATAGGTCCTCCCTCGTGGATACATAATAAAAGAATCTTTGGATTAGGATAAAAACATCTGAACTTAACTCAAAAAATAAGTTAATCACACGACTAGGTGCATGCTGGGTGGGGGTTGATAACAGCTCATGGCAATCTTATATAAATTCTTATCTTAATAATCATAGAAGCTATTTATCAAATGCTCTGATTCCTGTTTAGTGTATTCTACCAATATGACACTGTCAGGCTGTTTACATGTAGTCTCGCAAAAATTATATCTAATCTAAAACCTTTAGGTACACACTCTAATTATGACTATTAATGGGGGTTTCTGTAACTATTTCTACACACCTTGCCATAGCTCAGATAACATGACCACTAAGTGCCCTCAAAAAAAAAAAATGTATTAAGCTCCTTTAGATCAATGGCGACTATCACTCATATTAATTAATTAGACATATCTTGGTCACTGACGGTCTCACTCTGCTTCAGTGCAGACAACTGAATACTGGAGTCTAACATAAGTTTGTAAAATAGTAAAATATTAGCACTGAAGATTTGAAGCGAATGAGAAGAGGCATTTACAGGTCATTATATGGAATAAAGTTCTTATTTCAACAATAACTTACGTTAAGACAATGCTGTATCCTATGTAAACAAAAATGAATGGCTGAGAGCACTAGTAATACAAAGTTTAACCCCAATGAAAAATTAAAATGCCTGCAAGTCAACACCACAATACCATGAGAAGCTCTGAGAGTAAAGAATCGAAGCTTCATGTGGAAGGAATGAAGGTAGAGAAGAGAAATTAGCTGAAAAAGGCAGGAATTAAACTCGATACACTTAGGTCAGACTCACAGATGGCGGTGGTAGCTATAAAGTTTATAAATAAGATGAATTCGGCCGAACAGAAGTTTTTTCCTTGCAAAATCTCTCATTGTGACGTAAACCCGGGACTTAAAGCAATTATTTAAAGGGGAAAAACCACACACAGACACACACACACAAAAAAATTAATACCGAAAATTAGCACAATGGCTTAGCCAGTCAGATAAGTGGTTGCTTCCCCCGCTATTATCAACTATCTGAAAGTTAAAGGATTAACTTGCCAGGGCTCACAGTAATAACCAGGTGCAGTAAAGGAGTGTGATACGTCTCCTAAATAAAAAGTTTAGTATTCCCTGTTAAGGCTGTTGTTTAGGGTACAGGGCACATGAAATGTACGTGACACATGAAATGCTGTACATGTCACATGAGATGCACATGACACAAAATGACGTACATGAAATGTACACGACATAAAATGACGTACATGACACATGAAATGACTTATCAAAGTACCGGAGAGGAACAGCACCTCCTCCTATGTTAGAAGCATCTGTTCGTAAACAGAAAATCTTATTAATCTCGAGGATTTTCAGAGCAGAGAGGACTCATAAAGAATCTTTTGATGTTACAATGCAGCAGAGCTTCATCAGTGTGCTGCAGGCGTTCCTTAAACTTGACTCACGAAATCGTAATGACACGATTGCAAACAAACCATACCACGGGTGGGGTTTGAATTCATGGACACAGTGGTGCCTATGCTAACCTTCCTATGGTGTAGAAATATACCTAGTTGGACGAATTTTATTGGAGCTAGCTGGCCCTGTGGCTAACGCGACAGTCTGGAGTTTTGACACTCTCTGACCGCGGGTTCAAACCCCACCCGTGGTGTGATTTACTTCCTTAAACTGTTAGTCAAATAGCCAGACAAAATGTTATTTAAATTTATAAAGCCTTTTAGACTTGGGAAATTACACGACTGTAAAGCATTAGTCTTAACAGGACAAGGACTTAAACTGTTAACAGAAATAACAGTGGCCAGATACTGTAAAATCCTGTTTAACATTTCTGAGATTTGACTGTCAGACCCCCGGGATCTTGATCTTTGTAAACATGACAGTGTCTTACAGTGTTCATGCCAAGTCTGAGTCATAATAACTATTGTCGCCGTAGGCGGACGTCATGAGTACCTGAAAAATGAACTCGGTTATTGAATATAGGTTGCACAAGCTGTGCCCAACCTAAATAACATCGTGGTATACGGCATTAATCCACGCTATAAATAACAAAAGGCACAATACCGTGACTGGAACAATACACAAATAACCCGCACGACGACGTTTCGGCCCGACTTGGACTCTGTAAATGGTCCAAGTCGGACCGAAACGTCGTCGTAAACTCCTCTCTTCTATAGTCAATAGTCAATTTTGTTTCTTTGCAGAGTACATTGAGATTATGTATTTGCAATAATGAGTTGCAGTGCAGAGAGCCACAATCATGCCTAGGCATTATGGGCAGACTTAATGTTATGGCTTACTGACTACTTAATACTAAAGAAACTTATCATAGTTTAAGTTGTACAATAGTTTCAATAGTAAATATTGAAATTATATTAAAGGTATATAACACTGTGATTTGCTGAAAGTAGTTTGCAGTATGAGAATGTTACAAATGAGTGTAGGGCAGTATTCTTTTGGGTAGGTATTTATATTATTATTTAGTATATGTAGTATGAACTTGGGCGTCTAATCTTGAAGTTTTAAGATTGAGTATTGATTATTTAGTGCGGGTTATGTATTAATTCACTCTGTGAAGGTAAAATCTTTTCAAGGTTTGGAATCAGAATTCAATTCATCGTGATGGTAAACTTGTGTGGTATCCAGTTCTGAAATATATTGTGAGTTATGAAACTTGAAGGGATTGTCTTTAATGACAGCCACTGGTTGGGTGTCCCATTTAGTGATAGTATTATAAAAAAGAAGCGCTAAACCTACAAGGGTCGATGATAGCATTATGACATCTGAAATGTTGTACAAATTTGTAAGAATTCTCCGACTTTTTGACCATAACAAGCATATTTTGAAAGGTTAGTAATTCCAAGACTAAATAGCTTATCGATCTCTTGTTCAAAGTCATCGCTGAGATGTACTGAGAATGGGTAAATTTTTTTTTGACTGGCTTAGTGGTGGCTAATTCTGTCTTATGGAAGACAGTAGTTGTCAGTCCAAGATTTCATTGTACAATAGAAAACAAGGAAATGGAATGCTTGTCTTAGTCTTACTTTCAAATTATATTTAGTTAAAAAAAATGAAATATTTCATGTTATAGAATATTTGTTTAAATAATGATGTAATTTCTTCTTAAATAAAGTGGACGTCGTGTGATGCTGGGAGGTGGCTAGGGATGCTGGCAGGCAGTGCTGGTGCTGGCTGCCCATGATGATCATAGAGGAATTGTAGTGGGCTCTTTCTGTTTGAATGTGGATGCTTTGTCCAGGAAGATAACACCGTCAGCTGGTACCGTCCTGCTATCCTGCCAACATCATGGACATCCTCAAGAAGTTCAAGAGAGGAAAGAAAAGCAATGAAGGTATATACATCATTATTATTATCATTGAGAGAGAGAGAGAACGATTGAAGATGAACAAGGAGGTTTTGGAAGGGTTTCCGATGTATAGACCAATTTTTTATATTGCAGCAAATAAATGAACAATACTTATAAATGGTAAGAAGCTTCTTGTTGCATTTTTGGATTTAAAAAAGGCATATTATAGGATAGATAAAAGAGCAGTGTGGAAGATGTTGCAAATGTATGAAGGAAGTGGTGGCTTATTTAAAGCAGTGAAGCTTTTATGTGGAAATCGTAGCTCAAGTCATGGTATGTAAGGGATATTATTTTCCAGTAAAAGGCCTTATAAGACAGGGATGTGTGATATCACTATGGTTATTTAATCTATTTTTTGAAGGGGTTCTTAAAAGAGTGAATGCTAGGGTGTCGGGGAGAAGGTGTGAGATTAAAAGATAATAAATCTGGTACAGAGTGGGAGTTGTTACAATTGATTTTTGCCCATGACTCAGTGCATTTGGAATATTAGGAAGAGACGATGCAAAGAGAAGTAGACGAATTTGGGAGGGTATTTAAAAGAGGCAGAAGATCTGCAGCTCAACTTTAAGAGACCTAGGAACTACTACTTAACAGCCCCAAAAAGATCCAGGAGCTGGAGACTAGCAATAAATGGCCCAAGAGCTTTGGTTCAACACTTTGAAGAAGCCTAATAGCCCAAGACTGTTCAACTGCCTCCCAGCAGACATAAGGGGGGATTCCCAATAAACTCCTGGCTGTATTCAAGAAGGCGCAGGACAGGCACCTAACGTCGGTACCTGACAAGCTGGGCTATTGTCCGTATGTCGATCTGAGTGCGGCCAGCAGGAACAGCCTGGCTAATAAGACCCTGATCCACCAGGTGGCCTGGTCACAGACTGGGCCACGGGGGACTGATCTCCTAGACCCTCGCCAGGTATATTCCAGGTATGAAATCGTAGCTCATGTCTGAGTTAACCAGGACACAAAATAGCACAGTCTTCAATTTAAAAAAAAAAAGCAGAGTGAAAAGCAGCGTTGATGTTGATGTCATGAATCAGTGATGCAGAACGACGATCAAGGGACGCAACACGAGTTATCCTTTTTTTTTTTTTCTCTGAGGAAAATCTATGGTGGGTTCCACTTAATTTGGTGTCTTTAATTTGGTGTCTTAAATTTGGTGAAGATTACAGTACATAGGAACAATATCCAAGACATCAAAGACACTTCGGAAATGTAATGCTGCATAGGATGTTCTTGAAGTGATCTCTCTCTGTTTGGTTTTGAGGTATTATTATAATTAAAGAAAAGAGCTAAACTTAGAAGGGTCATACAGCGCAGCAGGGCAGGGAAGGATGCAGGGGTATTGGGTAGTAAGAGGGACAGGGATGATTATTATTAGGTAATGGAGTGCAACAGGGCAGTGGATAGTGCAGGGGTAGAGGGTAGCAAGAGACTGAAGTAGAAAGGCTGTGAGGAGTGCTAGAGGCATCATCATCAGAGTCTGTGTAGTAAATCACTTGCTGTCAAAAAGTCAATGAAAGAGTCTGGGTTAAAGGAGGATCCATCAGCAAGAAGGGAAGGTAAAGTAAGGGCAGTAGAACAATGACGACGTTGGTGGTAATTTCTGCGTGGTCGCTGATAGTGGGCAGTCCAACAGAATGTGGCTAACAGAAACTGGAACCTGACAATTCTCATAGGGTGGAACAGGGCGCCTCTCCAAGAGATATCCATGAATAAGACGAGTGTGGCCGATGTGAAGACGAGAGAGTGTAGTCTCCCAACCTCGACACTGATGACAAGACAGCTAGAAACCTATACTTGGTTTAATAGAATGTAATTTATTATGTAGCAGATCAGACTAATGTTGTTGCCAACGGATGCGAAGGTGGGTAGCAATTACATTAAAATAATCTTTGAATGGAACACCTCTATATGAAACTGGGAGGTCATATACTGCTGATCGCACAGCAGTGTCTGCCTGTTTATTGCCCTGTACATCAACATGACCAGGGACCCAACATTAAACAATATCTTTGTGCTTGCTAAAGATACAGCATAACTAAGGTTGGATACGAAGAACCAGGGGATGAGGTGTATCAAATTTTCTTATAGCCTGTAAAGCACTAAGGGAGTCTGAAACTACCACAAGTGTTGACACATGCAATACGGATAAGTGCTACGAGAATGGCATATAATTCAGCCATAAAAATGCTACCCGGGAATAATAAATGCCCTCGCACGTCTGGAAACACTGCTGGAACCATTGGTATACACTGCGATGGCATGAGAATGAGATCAAAAGCCACCGTAGGCAGTTTGGCTTTTGTGCATGGCAGTGGGAAAGAACAGACATGAGTCGTCAGAACTTCCCAAGGGGAAGGGTAGGGAAAATTGAGATGCTACATGAACATAGAAAGGTGGTAACTGAAGACAAGAGCGAATGTAGGCGAAGAGAAGAGGTATAAACAGGGGCGACCAACAAATAAAGAACGTCTGCTAACATCAGTGACTATCCTATATATAGAAGGATTGTGGAAATCATGAGAGCGAACATAATAGCAAAGGTAGTGAGCATCACGGTGATCGGTCAAGGATGGAATATTCGCTTTTGCATAGAGGCTCTCAACTGGCGAAGAGCGAAAAGCACCGAGGCATAAACGTAATCCCTTTTGATGGATGGGCTGAAGGCTAGAGAGAGTTGCACGAGAAGCCGCTGAATATATCTGGTCGCCATAATCGAGTTTCGGTAAAATTAGGGTTGAATGTAGTCGAAGGAGAGTTCTATGATCAGCCTCCCAAGAAAGATGAGCGAGGGTTTTAAGGAGGTTCAGCCGGCTATGACAAGTTGCCTTCAGAGAGGTAATGTGAGGTTTCCAGGATAACCTACAGTCAAACAGAAGGCCGAGAAACCTGACCGTATCACGTTCTGGGATACGCGAGCCATATAGGTACAATGGATGATCAGAGTTGACAGAACATCTAGTGAAAGTAATTTGGTGAGCTTTAGTGCTAGAAAATTTAAACCCATGAGTGGTAGCCCAGTTGGAAACATGGTTGACTGCATGCTGGAGAGAAACTGCAGTGAGGTGACAGTCAGTGCCTGCACAAACTATAGCGAAGTCATCAATATAGTGATGACCAAATATTAGATGGATGAACAGATGCCAGATTTTTTATATCAAGGGAAAAAAAGTGTTGTGGTCAGAATACACCCTGGGGAACACCTTCAGCTTGGACAAAGTCCGGGGAAAACATATTATTAACCCGAACACGGAAATGTCTTTCGTTTAAGAAGTTCTTAAGGAAAAATGGTAGATTGCCCAGGAGGCCTAAGGAGTGGGTCTGGGCCAAAATATTATACCTCCAAGTTGTGTCATATGCCTTCTCAAGGTCAAAAAAGATGGCGATAACTGAGTGGTTATTGGCAAAGGCATTACAAACATACGTATTTAAATGTAGTACGAGGTCAATGGTAGAACGGCCCTGTTGAGTGTCTCTAAATAACACATCAAATGTCTATTTACCAGGTGGAAAAAAATGGTATAAAATACCGACACAATGGAAATATAAACACATATGCAGTATAATGTGATCCTTTATTGACAACGTTTCGCCCACACAGTGGGCTTTCCCAAGTCATAAACAGATCTACCTGGGGTGTTCTTGGTGTTGTAGGTTTGCCGGTACTTCCGGCCCGGGTCTTCTCCAGAAGGCTACCCGGCGGTGGCCTCCCGGGCGGGGGGGGTGTCGTTCATCTTCTTTCTTCTGTATTCTTTCTTGGGGCCCTCCGGTTGGACGGTGACTTCTTCTGTCTTACGGTGACTCCCCAAGTGGGAAGTGTCTTCTCGTTTAGCATCTTCAGCAGCATAGGGGGGCGGAGGCAGCAATTACAGGGTTCGTTTTGGAGCCACACCCCAGCTTTAACAGGCAGCAAAGTGCTGGGGAAACTTGTCTTCACGGTGATTGATCATTGACAGTCCTGCTAGGCGAGGGTACCGTCTTCGGCAGCCCCATTCTGGAGAGTCCTGAATTTCTTCCTTGTGGTGTAGTCGAGTGCCACAAAGCAGTGACCTTTTGAGAGTAGGTTGATCAGGGATTCAGTGGTGAATGATCGAGTTGAGTCGCAGGTGAACTTGACTGTCCCGTTGTGGAGGCGTTTAACAATTTCTGGAGCGTACATTGCGTTCTCATTCTGGTTGGTTGTGTAGAAGTATACACTAGGCAAGATCTGGACTTCTTGTGAAGGAGTGGCCGTAGTACGTAGGGATGCATCCCAAGGCTCTTGTGTTTTAACCTTCTTGGCTGGTGGCTGAGACGATTGAGGTGAGGCGTCTGATTGGTCCGTTGTGACGAAGGTGGAAGCAGGTGCTGGTGGACTCTCATTGGTGGAATCGGTCAGCGTCTCAGTGGTCTCTGATTGGTCCATCTCTGTGTCGGGAGGAAGGTGTGGTAGCAGTGTGGTAGCGGCGACATTTGCAGTGGATTTTATGATCTCTGTGGAAGGAGCTTGAAGAGTTCGTTGATGGTGGTGTTGAAGGAACCAGGTTCAGCTACATTCTGCACATGAGCATACATGATGCAGTAAAGAATCTTGGTGGAGTCGCCAGCAAGAGCTGGCGAAGAAGTGGTAGATGCAGCTTGCGTTTCTTGAAGAATCTTGGTAGTATCTGCTTGAAGCTTGGTAATAGCATATGTAGTCGCTTGTGCAGTTTTTTTTTTGTTGTTGGAGTTGTTTCTTAAGTATATCTCGTCTGGTTGGGCACTTGGCAGCAAGAGTATGGTGATCATTCTTGCAGATCAAGCATTTAGGTGGAGAGGCAGTAGTGCGCGTCTTGAAGTCATGACCTTCTTGGCCACAGGTGGAGCAGAACTTCTTATTCTTGGCAGGGCAGTCGTTGGTGGTATGTAGGTATGAGTAACAGTTGGAACACTGGAATTTGATGGAATTTTTCTGCTTCGATGACGGCTGGATTGATGATGAAGTAGTGAATAGCCAGTCCCTCAGCGAGAGCTCTGGCTGCCATGTTGACGTCACTGAAGGTGACCTTCAGCATGGAGGAGGCATTGAGTATTTTGATAATGAATTCCACCTTGGCCCAAGGGTTCTGTGCTTCTATGGACGACTTGATTTTTTCGGTAGGCTGGGCAGTGATGAGCCTGTCGAGTATCTTGAGGAACACAGTTCTCCTGGCCCTCAGAGCTGGGGAAGTCAAGACAATAAATCCCTGATCTCGTAGAGTGGTTGTAGCAGTGGTGGTAATAAGTTTTTCAGCCTCGGTGTCGTCTGCCACTGACGACAGCTGCAAGTGCTAGCTTAGACGAGTCATTGACTGTCCCACTCTCTGGTTTGATCTTTACCCTGTTCGAGAAGTGCATCGTGAAGTGTGGTCTACGTCTGCTGTGAAGCAATGCGTACCTGACTATAAATACTCTCGAGTATTTATAGTCAGGTTCAGAATGCTGAGGTCAGGTGGAGAATGCTGCATCTGATGATCTACAGAGTGGGGTTATAGAGTCTAAAATCTTGAGTAGCTTGGAAGGGAGATTGGATAAGTTTGTGAGCAGACCTGCAGTGTTCCTATTCCATCACCTTGCAAACTGCACTGGTAAGAGCAATGGGATGATAGTGGGAGGAATAATGTCCCGTACTACCCGGTTTGTGGAAAGGGAGAACAACGGCAGATTTCCACAGCTGGGTGAAGAACTCCTTGTGATCAAATAAGATTAAAAAGTCGTAAGAGGCCTGCAAGGGATGACTGATGTAAATGCTGTAGCATACGAATGTGAATTCCGTCAGTCCCAGCTGGCGATGATTCGCAAGCTGAAAGTGTTGCCTCCAGTTCCAGAGGTGTGAAAGGCACATCATAAGATTCTTCTCTGATTGAAGAAAAGTTTAAGGGGTCTAACTCTCTGACAGACTTTGAGGAACGAAACGAGGGGCATAGATGATTACCAGTTTCGGTGACAACGTCAAGAGGGTTTGCTATATCAACACCGGCAATCCGAAGAACAGGAACCGGGTCGGGAGAGTATTTACCACTCAGTTTCTGTACTTTTTTCCAGACTGCACTCATAGAGGAAGCAGAAGTGATGGTAGGAACATAATCCCGCCAGCAAGTGCGTTTAGCATCACGGATGACACGGTGAGTGGCCGCTTTCTTCTACTTTAAATCAAGGAGTCTCTCTGTGGTTCTTTTGTACTGGTACCTGCCCCACGCAGTGCATTTCAAAAGCACTGCCCAAGCACAAGCAGAAGACCACCAAGGCACGCACTTCTGAGAATGCCTGCCCAATGTTTGGGGTATAGCATGTGAAGCTGCAGTTAAAACTGAGGTTGAGAAGAGATGTAAAAGCTCATCAATGGAGGACGAAGACGGAGCCTCACTAAAAGCTAAAAGCAGTTAAACGAATAAAGGTCCCAATTTGCTCGGTCAAATTGCCGGTGTGGGCTACGAGGAGGTGGTGAATACGAAGTAAGGATGATTGGAAAATGATCACTGTCATGTAAATCAGGGAAGACAGACGAGGTGAAGTCTAGTACCATTAAGGAGGAATGAGTACGGGGATCAAAATGGGTGGGAGTACCCGTATTTAAAACATGGAGGGGAAGAGAAGCGAGAAAAGCCTCCAACTGAATGCCATGGGAGTCGCAGTGAGACTCCCAGAGGAAATGGTGGGCATTAAAATCGCCAAGTAACATAAGTGGTGGCGGTAAGGAAGAAACCAGACATGCAACATCTGGGATAGATAAGGCCCGAGAAGGAGAGAAATACAAAGAACAAATTGTATACCACTTATTCAAGTGCATGCGGACTACAGTGTGATGCAGCGAAGAATGAACAATGAGCTGATGGTATGGAGTACTGGTGCATATAAGAAGTGCACTTTCATTAGGGGTTCCATCAGGAAAAGGATCCGATGAATATAATAAATCATAGACAGGGATCATGACAGAAATGTTAAAAGCAGGGGGGGGATATAGTGTTGGAGTGGTTGGTACTTTTGTTTAATAAATGTATGAAAGAGGGGAAGGTACCTAGGGATTGGCGGAGAGCATGTATAGTCCCTTTATATAAAGGGAAAGGGGACAAAAGAGATTGTAAAAATTATAGAGGAATAAGTTTACTGAGTATGCCAAGAAAAGTATACGGTAGGGTTATAATTGAAAGAATTAGAGGTAAGACAGAATGTAGGATTGTGGATGAGCAGGGAGGCTTCAGAGTTGGTAGGGGATGTGTAGATCAAGTGTTTACATTGAAACATATATGTGAACAGTATTTAGATAAAGGTAGGGAAGTTTTTATTGCATTTATGGATTTAGAAAAGGCATATGATAGAGTGGATAGAGGAGCAAAGTGGCAGATGTTGCAAGTATATGGAATAGGTGAGGCTCAGGTTAGGGTGTGTAGAAGAGAGGGAGAATACTTCGCGGTAAAAGTAGGTCTTAGACAGGGATGTGTAATGTCACCATGGTTGTTTAATATATTTATAGATGGGGTTGTACAAGAAGTAAATGCTAGGGTGTTTGGGAGAGGGGTGGGATTAAATTATGGGGAATCAAATTCAAAATGGGAATTGACACAGTTACTTTTTGCTGATGATACTGTGCTTATGGGAGATTCTAAAGAAAAATTGCAAAGGTTAGTGGATGAGTTTGAGAATGTGTGTAAAGGTAGAAAGTTGAAAGTGAACATAGAAAAGAGTAAGGTGATGAGGGTATCAAATGATTTAGATAAAGAAAAATTGGATATCAAATTGGGGAGGAGGAGTATGGAAGAAGTGAATGTTTTCAGATACTTGGGAGTTGACGTGTCGGCGGATGGATTTATGAAGGATGAGGTTAATCATAGAATTGATGAGGGAAAAAAGGTGAGTGGTGCGTTGAGGTATATGTGGAGTCAAAAAACGTTATCTATGGAGGCAAAGAAGGGAATGTATGAAAGTATAGTAGTACCAACACTCTTATATGGGTGTGAAGCTTGGGTGGTAAATGCAGCAGCGAGGAGACGGTTGGAGGCAGTGGAGATGTCCTGTCTAAGGGCAATGTGTGGTGTAAATATTATGCAGAAAATTCGGAGTGTGGAAATTAGGAGAAGGTGTGGAGTTAATAAAAGCATTAGTCAGAGAGCAGAAGAGGGGTTGTTGAGGTGGTTTGGTCATTTAGAGAGAATGGATCAAAGTAGAATGACATGGAAAGCATATAAATCTATAGGGGAAGGAAGGAGGGGTAGGGGTCGTCCTCGAAAGGGTTGGAAAGAGGGGGTAAAGGAGGTTTTGTGGGCTAGGGGCTTGGATTTCCAGCAAGCGTGCATGAGCGTGTTAGATAGGAGTGAATGGAGGAGAATGATACTTGGGACCTGACGATCTGTTGGAGTGTGAGCAGGGTAATATTTAGTGAAGGGATTCAGGGAAACGGGTTATTTTCATATAGTCGGACTTGAGTCCTGAAAATGAGAAGTACAATGCCTGCACTTTAAAGGAGGGGTTTGGGATATTGGCAGTTTGGAGGGATATGTTGTGTATCTTTATACGTTGATGGTTCTCTGAACCATTCATCTACAAATCTTTATACGTATATGCTTCTAAGCTGTTGTATTCTGAGCACCTCTGCAAAAGCAGTGATAATGTGTGAGTGTGGTGAAAGTGTTGAATGATGATGAAAGTATTTTCTTTTTGGGGATTTTCTTTCTTTTTTGGGTCACCCTGCCTCGGTGGGAGACGGCCGACTTGTTGAAAAAAAAAAAATGGACCGAGATGAGATGGATAACAGCAGAGCATAATTTGGGTTCTTGTCAACAAACACAAACAGGGGAAAGCTAGGAGAGCAACACCTGAAGCTCACCCTGGTTACCTCTGAGGCCACAGGTATTATTCTGTAAATAAGCCATAATTTGCGAAGAGAAAGATACAAGAAATTTGAAGGTAGAGGTATCTGTGGGCTAGAAGGGTTAGAAAAGTCGACATGTGGAGGCAGTAAAAAATTTTTAAGCAGTGATGGATTGGGACGCTGCAAAGAAAGGAGTTGTGCAAATGGAGAAGAGTGAAGAGGAGGAACAGGAGGTGGATCGGTGTCCATCAATCGTCGAATCTCCTCAATAAATATATTCTGAGATAGCTTTAATTGTTTCAGAGAACAAGGACGTTGTATGTGGTACAGTATTGGAGATGGAAGGAGGAGAGTGAGTAAAGTTAGGGGTGACGATGGATTGTACCAAAGTAGGGGGATGAAAGGGTAGAGGGAACTGGAGAAGAAGCTTGGGAGGGACAGGAGTGGAAGCGACCTGGGAGGGGGCAGAAGAGGAAGAAACAGGGGAGGGGATAATGGGGATCTTTTGAACTTCGGAGATGGAGAGGGGTGATGGGAAGGAGGTGTTGTACGAGGTCTTGTAGATACAGAAACTTGTAAGTGAGAAGAGGAAGAGGTGAGAACAAAATGAGGCATTGAGGTAGGGACCTCTGAGTCCAGAACAGCAGAAGAAAAGAATTAAAGACAGGGGTGACTGCAGAAGGGTGACCACAGAGGAGGCTGCTGAAGTTGGGACCCCAGAGGTGGAGGGACGTTTAGTTACTCGTGAATAAGAAATACAGGGAAGTCTTCCTTGGAGGCATACATGAGAGACTGCCATAGCATATGGGAAGCCTTTTGCCTCTTTGAGACAATGGATTTCTCTCTCATTTAAGTAAACTTGGGAACGTCGAGAGTAAGATGAGTGAGCTTCATGACAATTAAGGCAAGAGGGAGGTAGACAACAATATGTATTGGTGTGGTCGTCAGCACCACAGACTGGGCATTCGGCCATGGACCTGCAATATTTTGTTGGATGACCAAAACGCCAGCAATTTCTACACTGTTGCGATCTAGGGATCACCTTTTGAACTTGTCAACAGTGTCCTGCAATATATACAGAGGACCGAAGCTCACGGCAGTCAAAAGTTAAGCAAGCTACATTCCAAGGGTATCGTCTCCGCCTGTGGGCAGGGAGGACATAAGTGTCTACTTTGAGGATTGGGAGGTCTTGGAGCTCAAGCTGTTCCAGAATGTCATCACCACATGTCTGGAAATTCTGTTGGACAATGGTATGGGGGTAGAATGACAGTACCACTATAAGAATTGAGGAAATGATGTTTTTCAATAGTTACAGGAATAGCATCGATGGTTGTAAGGAGAAAGATTGAGAGCTTGGCTAGCATTCTGGGCAGGGATGATGCGTGTACTGCTCTTGAAAGCATGAAAGGATATATCTCTACCAACATGGCGTAGGAACGCCTTGTTAATACTATAGTTGGAAAGATAGGCAGTAGAGGAAGTCATCAGAGTAAAAAAAAAGACTTAGTCCATTGTGTATTTTGAAACAGCACATAAGGGAAGTGCACGACGTGCCGGTCTTTTCTGAGTAGAATGAGAAGGAAGTGAAGAAGTATCATCAGGTAATGGTCTTAGGCGTTTAGGTGTCAGACCGGAGTTAGTCCTACGTGAGACAGACAGGCAATCCGAAAATTGCCACACCATAGAGGGAGAAGCCAGAAGCATGGTCAAAGAAATGCGGAGGTCAGACGTATCGAAGAAGTCAGTTGGAACCTGGTATATGGAGTTGGTGATGGAACGGCACCAGTAAGAGGTACAGGGGCATTAGAAATGTCCAAAGAGTGGTCAAATAATGAGGCAAGGTCGGAACAGAGTGTTGTATCAGGAAGGGGCCGCTGGGGAACAGGTTCATGGATTTAGGACTCCATGGTTATGTCACGTCTTTATTTTTTTTAGAAAAAAAAAGAAAAAATGGGGGAACATGGAGGAATTGCTCCTAGGAGGAAAGGGCTGTAAATCCCCCTCCGTGCCCAAGAGGACCCCAGCACTGGAAGTAGTGCAGATGCAGCATGGAACCTGTGTCATACCCTATCCTTCGTGCCAGTGAACCAGCAATCAGGGATAACAACCTCACATCCGACGAGCCACCTCGGTGGACAAAAGAGAGGGTGGCCGGACACCCACCACATAGCATACCTCCTTCGGCTACCACCCCCTGAAATCTGTCAGGCAGCCTCCAGAGATACACCCATCACCCAAAAGACACCCAAAGCCATGCCCTGGGAGACCAGAGAGGAATCAGGACATCTCCAGGTGATCAAGATTACATGACAAACTACACCACCACCAAGGACCTCAACGGAATGGGGTTGTCCACGGTATCCTTCCCCCTACCTAGGAACTAGAGTGCTTGTGGGAAGAATCCCAAAGGCTGAAAATAGGAAGGGGATAGGGGAGGGATGGGGAGGAGGAAAGGGAAAAAGGAGGATGGGGAGGATGGAATAGGGAAGGGGGGATTGGGGGATAATTAGGTTCGGTCTGAGGAAGGAGACCAAAAGGTCTCATTCCTCAGACCAAGAGCCTCTTCACCGTGCCAGGAAGCCCCCATTGAAGAGGGGGGTTTGAGGTAGACGTTGTCGAAGACGGCACTGAGGTGTGACATCATCAGTATATCATATTTCTGCCTGTAAAGGTTATCACCGAAGGAAAAGAGGATGAACATAACTTGATGAGATCCATGAAGTCTTGTTTAGGAAGAGGAAGAGGTAGGTAATGGAGTTATGGAGAAAGTGAATAACCTTGTCAATGGGAACTCAAAGAGGGCGGTGACGTCAAGACTGGAGAGTATTATTTTATGAAACTGAATAGCATTGTTTCACTATTTTTCCCACGATGACCCCGAGATTAAACATCGAGTCATCATAGTTTTTCTTTCCTTTATTCCCTCAGGATTTGTAATGAAGAAAATGTTGAGAAGGAACAAATGTACATCAAGGACGCTTTCACTGCTCTTAGGTTCCGACTACACTTCATCCACTCCTGCACAAGGAATGAAATGCTCATCCATACCACTCTCAGGAAAACAGCTAACACGGATCGCCGTCCTGTCCTTCCCAAAGGACAAGTTACCTTCAATTTCACTCCATTTCTTCCGTAAAGCCAACGAGAACATTGCTGCAATAACTAGCACAACAAAGATATCACCAAACCCAACAAACAGGAAAGCACTACTGCAGCTGGGGTTACTAGTGACCTGTAGACTCGCCTGCAGGAACACAAATATGCTTGGTTTATGGAGCAGCACAACAATTCTACAGGGAGAAAGGTCAAACCAGATGCAGGATTTTGGAATCATCGTCCTTACATTTATCTGACGCTATTGGGCAAAATAAAGAAATATCAACACTGGGAGGTGCTACTGCGCATATTATACAAGGTTTATATTTTCTAGTGACTTGCCCCCACGCATCCAGTCCACCACTGAACATTGGGTTTTAAACTATGCATTTTGCTCGAGTTATCTGTCTCGCTCGTTTCCTCTTGAGACTTCTTCTAAGCGCAACCTCAAGGTGCTCGTTAGTCTTTTATGGCCAGACATCTGTGTTCTTTGTATGCTTAATAAAGTCCAGTCATGAACGAATCGTTGCAATAAAGCTTTCACTGTAAAGAGAGTATCTTCCTCCCTGTACAGTGCTAGTCACGGCATTATGCAGGGTGAGCGCCCCGGCGTAATGCCGTGACGAAAATCAAAGGCCTACCATACAGGAGGGTCTTTTCGTCAGTGCATTATGCCGGGGAGCAGCCGTTAGCATGACGTTACGGCCTGCCACCACACTCGACAGTGACTCCTCAGTGCTCACGTGGCTTCCGTAATGAGAGTGTTGTACTTTTGTCTCTCATCCGCCCCCACTTTTGTCTGGTGTTGCCTTTGGTTTTGGGTCTATACATGTTTGATTATGGGTAAATGGAAGTCTTTAACACCTGAAACTATTGCTCAAGTTATAGGGCTTCACAAAGCTGGGCACCAGACGAAAGAAATAGTGGAGAATGTTAGTGTGTGTGAACATTCAGTGAGGAACTGGGTGCAGCATTTCAAGGCTGGGGACGTTGTCGAGTTACTGTCTGCCAAACCTCGGCCTGGCACCTCGAAGAAGACATCTGTTTGTACCTTAACTGTGTTAAAGAAGCAGTTAGTACACCTAAGATAACTGCTAGAAAATTGAAAGAGAAGAACCCACATCTTCTCTCAGAGGTGTCTGTAAGAACTGTTAACAGACGTGTATCAGAACTGGGCTACAGTAGTCACCTCCAGGTTAATAAACAATCCTCTCCAGGCCACAGAAAAAACGTAGGATGGATTATGCAAATAAATAATATCTTCACTGGAATCCTTAACAGTGGTCTGTAACCATGGGGGACGTGTACCGGCCCAGAGGTATCGACCCACTAGACCCACGTTACACCTGTGGAACTACCAAACACCCAGACTCACTCATGGTTTGGGGGTGTTTCAGTGCTTCGAGTGTTGGTGATCTCATTGTGCTTCCCAAAAACCAGTATATGAACCAGTATAATTACCTGGAGTTATTGTGTGACAATTTACCTGAGGCGTTAGATAAGTGTGGGACTACGGTTTTTATGTAGGATGGTGCACCGTGTCATACCGCTAAATTTGTAGTTCAGTGGCGTAAGGACTGTGAACTGAGGTTCTTTAATGACTGGTCAGGCAATTCCCCAGACCCAAACCCTATTGAGAACCTCTGGTCAGTAGTGAAACGAAGTTTATTGGGCAAGGATATCAGTTCCATCCCAGGGCTGGAGGCTGCTCTACATGAGGCATGGAATAATATACCTCCCCAGACCCTCGAGAATTTGTGCGAGAGTCTTACTACATGAGTAAGGGACGTGATTAAGTGTAAAAGATGCAGCACCAAGTATTAAAACCTCAGTAAGTGTGCATATATATATACATATATATATATATATATATATATATATATATATATATATATATATATATATATATATATATATATATGCTTGGAATTTCACTACTCTTTCACAGTGGTTGTTTTGCATATATATATTATATATATATATATTATATATATATATATATATATATATATATATTATATATATATATATATATATATATATATATATGCTTGGAATTTCACTACTCTTTCACAGTGGTTGTTTTGCATATATATATATATATATATATATATATATATATATATATATATATATATATATATATATATATATATATATATATATATATATATATTACAATATTTCGTGGTATGTGTTTGTGTTTTGGTACGTGTGTGGGGGATGGGTGGCATAATGCCGTGACTAGCCCTGTAGGTTCAAGACTTAACAGAAGAATTTTCTGCAGATCGTCCCTCACTTTCGCTGTCATTGTCCTCACCACAGGTACGGAGACATACCAGGCTCTCTACATGTACAAGGCGACAAGAGCGGGCGACCTCTCCTTCGACGAGGGTGACCAACTGGAGATCTTGACGGAGGAGACAGACGGCTGGTGGATGGCCTCAAACCCTCGTACGGGTACCAGAGGATACGTGCCTTCCAACTTCATCAGAAAATTGTATGTTGGAAAGGGAAAAGGCATAAGAACAGGGGAAAATTAAGTGTAGCAGCTGCTAGGTCAGAGGTAGTGCCTTCAGTTTTGGGCCTCATCCTAGAAGTGTGTTAGTATATCTTAGTCAGGGTGAGGTTTTGAAATGAGTTGATGTAAATTCGACGACGTCAAAAAAAAAAAAAGTAGGATTATGGAGGAGGGAAGTGCGAGAATACATATATGAGTGGTGAGAGCGAAGTTTGGTGTGAATATGGGCAATGTATAATTTTTTAGGGATCTACAAATAATTTAAAATGGTACATTAATATAAAATTTAGTTTTTAAATTTACTTTTTTAAATTTTTAAGTTTAAAATTTAGTTTTTATATTTTGTTCATTAAAAGTAGCGCATTTTTCCCTAGGGATAACTGGCATTATTATGTGATTTGTGAGCATGATCGTATATTCTCTGTATTTCTTAAACTTATCTTGCTACTTAACTAAGAACCTCCTAGCCAAGCAAGCTCCAGGATCTCTCTCTCTGTGTGAACACTTCGTCTCGAGAACACAGGTATATACATGTACAAACATATACACATGCATATTTGCAAAACAAGCCACGGCGAGTGGAAAATTTTAGCTCAGTGTGTCATCAAGAGCAATACAGTGTTGCAAGGCAACAACTAAAGGACTGAGGGGAAGTTTTTTTTTTTTTTGTCAGAGTAGCATGAGTTTAGTTGAGCATCACCAATACATCATGAAACCATCTCTTCATATATTCCTAAAATATTGTCTACCAGTCTTCTCAGTATCGATTAATATGCCTTATTTGAGTATCTCTGCCTTTCTGATAATATTTCTATGATCCAGTTTTTTTTCATCGGATATCCTTCAGCCTCACTATCTATGTTATCACCTAATCTTGCGTACCTGTCCACTTATGGTACAGTATCAGTTAAACATGTTATGTTGCATGCTACCATTTCCGACATACGTAGCACGAGTTTGGTGTGAAGATACTGGTCGAGTGCCACCAATCTATCATGAAACCAACTGGCATAATGAGCAATCCTGTGATTTTGTGTAGCACTGTTGTTTAAGATTGTATACAACAGACTCTGCTAAATAGCTATTGAGCTCGTTTAACCCATAATTTGAGTTACATGTGGTGTTCTTGCCGTGTTTCAAGAAGGAAGATTCAATTATGTTTCTTTCTATGACTGAAGTGTTAGGTACAATAATTTGGGCATCAGCCCACCTCAGTGGGTGATTACAGGAACTGACGTGGTTGAAGATAGCGTTCGACTCCTGCCCTGTCCTGAATGAGTATTTATGTTGGGTTATTCTGGTTTCCAGAGGTTTGCCTGTTTGACCAATATATGAAAGGGGACGCTTGGTGCATGGAACCTTGTCAACCCGACCAATTTTGTTAGAGGGTGTGTTGTTAATCAACCTCTGTTTCACTATCCCAGTGTTTTTGAAAGCGAGGTTTATATTGATCTTTTTTAATGCCTCACATAGGCAGACCAAGTTCTCATTATATGGTAAAAATAATACATTTTTCCCGGCAATCACTTCCTGAGGTTCAGTCCTGTAGAAAGTCTTCCTTGCTGACATTAGTGCCTTCTCGACAAAATCCCTATGGCATCTCAGTTTTGTGGCTATGCTGAATATCTTGCTGATTTCGTCCTCTAAATACTCTTTGACTGCAGATGTGCAAGGCTCTCATGAACAGTGTGAGGAACACTCTCCTTTTTATCCTAGATTTATGACTGGAATAGTAATGAATGTATGACGACACATTGGTGGACTTCCTGTAGACTGTAAATTTAAAATTTGTCAACACCATGGATTAAAGTATCTAGGAATGCAAAGTGTTGCTTATTTCATGTTGTGAACTTAATGGAAGGTACTAGACCAATGAATCTGGGTAGGAACTAATCAATGTTATGATCCCTAGGCCATTTATGTATCTGAACCACCTCCATCATCTTAGCCCTCCATGTTTCTGGGCCCCCATGTGGCTCTAGGTTCTCTCAGTCAATTTCTTTGTGATTGGAGTCACCTACAATCAGCACCTTTGCCCTGCTTGCACGAGCCCTTCTGGTCACTTCAGCCAGTGTGTCAACTATCGCTCCATTACTCTCATCATACTCTTGCCTTGGCCTCCTCCTGTTCTGTGGTCGGTTATACATTACTGCAATTACCACCTTGGGACCTCCTGACTGAAGTGTTCCTATTATGTAATCTCTCGCTTCTCGGTTTCCTCTCTCCAGCTCATCAGCTCTCATCCAGCTTCCACCAGCAAAACCTGGTGGAAGCACTGATGTCCATACAGGGGTAAAAGATATTGAGGAAACAGGAAAAATAAATGCACCAGCAGTGAAAGCAGCTACAATAAATCCTAGCAAACAGAAGTACAATCATGTAAATACTATGCCTTGGGTATCTGCAGGCACGGTATATCTGGTAAAACAGGTGGGACATGCACCTTTGACCATCCCAAAAAATGCCGCACCCACATGACAACAGGAGAGTGCAACTTCTCTTCTTGCAACTTTTTTTACCCAGAAATGTGTCACTCATCAATCCATGAAAGAAAATCCTACAATGCATGCTGCCAGGCATGTCATCTAAAGGGGACTAGAAGACACAGAGCAGCCAAACTATGGGAAACAAAAGAGAGGAGCCACAACCTCTCCAGGGACAGAGGTTTTTTGGGGCCAGAAGGGAAAAAAGACTGGCAAGAAATGACAATACTCCTACACCACCTGAAAACACTTCTGGAGCAGAGGCACGGTCATTGGCCTTTACCCCAGAACAACAGATATTAGAGTCAGCGAATAAACCCCCCCTAAATTCCACCAATACATTTGTCTTTGCAAACATACAGGGTCTAAAGCCGTCAAAAAACAACAAAATTCCTTACATCAAGGGACTGCTCACGGAGTCAAATGCAATGTTTGCAGCATTCACAGAGACCCACATAAAGGATCATTATAACAACGAAATATGGATCCCAGGTTATAACCTATTCCGATGCGACAGACTAAACAGGCAACAAGGCGGGGTTGGCCTGTATGTCACAGAGTCGCTTATTTGCACAGAACTACTAAACACCTCAAATGATGTAGTTGAAGTTTTGGCAGTAAAGATCGAAAACCAAAACCTCGTCATTGTGGTAGTATACAAACCTCCAGATGCAACTTCCCATCAATTCCAGGAGCAGCTTGAGAAAATTGACCACTGTCTGGAAAATCTCCCAACTCCTGCCCCAAACATCTTACTACTGGGAGATTTCAACGTGAGACACCTAAAATGGAGAAGTATAGCAAACAATGTTTTAGCAGAGATCACCCCGGGAGGCAGCTCAGATGAAAATTCACACACACGAACTATTAAATCTCTGCACCAAATTCACCTTTAACCAGCAAATAGTAGAGCCTACAGGACTAGAAAATACGCTGGACCTCATCTTCACTAACAATGGTGATCTGATACGTAGTATAACTGTATCAAAGACAATTCACTCAGATCAACATAATAGAAGTACAGACATGTATGCACAGGGCTCCAGACCAGCAAAATGTGAGCAGTCATGAAGGTCTCTTCACGAAATTCAATTTCAATAAAAAAAAACATACAATGGGGACCAAGTAAACCATGCCTAAAATGAAACAAGCTGGGAAGATATCCTAAACAACACGGATCCGAACATCTGCCTCGAAAAAATGAATTCTGTGGTTCTTAAGATCTGCTCAAGACACATTCCATTAAGAAAAAAAGAGAGAGATGCAAACTAGAAAGAGAGACGTTCATATACAGACGAAGGCGAATAGTCACAGAGTTGCTGAGTGGGGTCAATATATCTGAAATACGAAGGGAAGCACTACTCAATGGAATTGCAAATATCGAACTTAAGCTGAAGGAATCTTATAGGAGACAAGAATCACAGGAATAACTAAAAGTCATATAGGAAATTGAAAAAAAAAAAAAAAAAAAATACTTCTTCTCTTATGCCAAATCTAAGGGAAAAACAACATCCAGTATTGGGCCTCTGCTTAGGCGGGATGGGACATACACAGATGACAGCCAAGAAATGAGTGAGATACTAAAGTCCCAATATGACTCAGGGTTCAGCGATCCACTGCCCACTCTAAGGGTCGACATTCCAAATGAATTCTTTATGAACGAAACCCAAAATCTTGTCATCCCAAAGCTCTCGGATATTATAATAACTCCACAGGATTTTGAAGAGGCAATTAATGACATGCCCATGCACTCTGCCCCAGGCCCGGACTCATGGAACTCCGTGTTCATCAAGAACTGCAAGAAGTGCCTTCAGCATTTTATGGAGAGGGAGCATAGACACAGGGGTCATCCCACACTCACTAAAAATAACATAGCCCCACTCCACAAATGTGGCGGTAAAGCAATTGCAAAGAACTACACACCGATAGCACTAACATCCCATGTCATAAAAATCTTTGAGAGGGTTCTAAGAAGCAAGATCGCCAACCACCTACATACCCATCAGTTACACAACCCAGGGCAAAACGGGTTTAGAGCAGGTCGCTCCTGCCTGTCCCAGCTACTGGACCACAGATGTAGTATACACAGACTTTGCAAAAGCTTTCGACAAGTGTGACCATGGTGTAATAACACACAAAATGCGGGATAAAGGAATAACGGGAAAAGTTGGTAGATGGATCTACAACTTCCTGACAAATGGAACACAAAGAGCAATAGTAAACAGAGTAAAGTCCCAGGCAGCCATGGTAAAAAGCTCTGTTCCACAAGGCACAATACTCGCTCCCATTCTATTCCTTATCCTCATTTCTGACAGAGATGTAAGCCATAGCTCCATGTCTTCTTTTGCGGATGAAACCCAGATCACCATGGCAGTGACCTCCATCGAAGACACCGCGAGATTCCAAATCTTCGAATGGGCCACTCAAAACAATATGAAGTTCAACGAGGAGAAATTTCAACTACTCAGATATGGAAAACTTGAAGAAATTAAAAAT